TAGGTGGACAAAAATGTTACACCTTTTGCGAATATCACGGGCCGCATTGATTCAACCGTTTAGCTTTTCTTTGCTTTCTTGCCTCAAATTAGTTTTCTGTTCTTTCTCTTTCTGACAGCCTAAGCCGGGGTTTTTTTCGCCTTCACAGCATCTTCCGCGAAATAGAGGGAAGGTTTCGATACTTAAAAAGGATGCAGTTGCTTCATGGTAATGTTTCGTGTTAGCGGTCTTACAGTCTTGTACGCTGCGGATAACGGGGCGTCATCGTGACCGCGTTTGGCGCGATGCCAATCTTTTATTTTCTCTTTTCTTCCTGCAAGCGACTGGACTGCATCATATCGTTTGTGTCAGTCGTTTTCCAGCTAATTTTGCTGGAAAGGCAGTTTTACAACTTTAATTTCTTATTAAATTTTAGATTCAAACAATTTCAGTTTTAATCGGAGTATAACTGTTTTAATGTGTAAAATGTGTGTAAGATATTGTTAAAACTTCGAAGCAGCAGTCTAGTGTATCGTCATACTTTTCGTTTCCAAACATTTTAAAGTGCGGTACCATTTTATTGATTCAACAATTTTTGCAGGTACGGTACTGAACGCGAGTACAATGTGTTGGTTATGGATTTATTGGGACCTTCACTGGAAGACCTTTTCAATTTCTGTTCGCGAAGATTTACCATGAAGGTAATTATTGTTTCTGCATTCGACCATTAGAAAATGATCGATTAGTGCCTTTACTTTAGTTACTGAATTTTTGGCTCCGGCTAAGTATTAAATTCAGTACATTATGGGTGAAAATGTAGTTGCCTATGTTCATTTGCAAGAATAGAGTTGCTTATCTCGTGAAGACAGACATGTCCATGGGGAAGTTCTAAAATGCCAGTAGCCAAGGCAATGGGGGCCTTCCTAGCCTTCCTTAATGTTCAAAGATTCCTTAGTGCAGTGAGGTCCCTGCTGAAATTTCTCACTTCTTTCATCGATATTCTTTATTTGATCAATTTCTTGAATGACTGATGCGACACACTCTGTTACATGATTCTTGGGTCGCCTGTGAGGTTTCCTTGGGAAATCTCTTTATCCACCAGTGTTCCCCGACACCCGGTCGTAATGTCTCTGTCAGTTTCTTACGCGCCAGCTCAACTCTTATTCGAGCTTTTATCTTCATCGCTCTGACTAGTTTGTGCGCTTCTCAATAAGCTGGGGATCGTCCGTGGTTTGGTATGCTAAGGCTACTAAGGCAACACTTCGAGGAATTATTCGCTCTTCTTTGTCAATTGCGGTTGCACCACGTCGCGGTGAGCTCATGCCGCCTAACTTCTGCTGATTTTTCGATTTGCCCGCTCCCACACATGACGGTTTGTTTTGTTTAACGCAGCAAGCGCTGAGCCTTGAGGATAGCAGGAATAGCTTCCTCCCATCATCACATCCATATCGTTCCCGTTTATTTATTGCAGCAGGACGCCAAGCTATGCCAGCTGCGACCCATCACTCGCACATGGAAAGGGACCGTTCTCAGATAAGAGTGTTCACTCGTTCTTAAATATGCACTGAGGGGGGGGGGTCCTTCAAACACTCCATGAGGGTTATTAGCAAGTAATTACTTATCGAATTACTGACCGAAACGATAGCTCACAACAGAACAGAGTACTAATCTACTACATGTAAGCTATGCTTGGACGCACAACTGAGGAAGCTGAGAAGATTACGTGTGAGCGGCACCATTCACCTATTATAAGCACTTCGAGTCCACACCTACGATTTCATTGCTGCCTCGCCTTTATCGTGATGATGCCATAATTTATCGCGGCTCGAGCGGGAAACCACTTATTTCGAGCATATATGTGATAGACGTTGAGTAGACTTTTCCTTACACAAAACTGCACTAACCTACCGAGTGAACACATCAGAGCGCATTCTTGTACACGAAAATAAATTTTTAATAAAAAAAAAAAAAAACTCTCTTATTTTATGGATTCTCTGGGTTCAGGGCTTGTACGGTGTTTCTGTTATTATTACGTGCTAGCGGTGATGTTTTTCTCTCTCGAACCTATTCATCATAGTAATCCTTTTCGTTTCCGCTTTGCATGCCGCTTTATATGTATAGAGGGCGCGGAGAGGACGGGAGGAAGAGGGCATTTTTGGATTTGCTAGTGCCCGTTAAATTACAGTCTCAACTTTGGCAAGATGTGTATCCTCCTGTCAGGTGTGAACGGACTTTTGCTACTGCATAGCTTCACATGAATTCACATGTTTCCACAATAAGCATCGGCTATGAATTAGTGAGATCCAGCAAATTTGCCCCCACTAAGCCGAACAGTGCCAAATCTTTGTGATGTGTAAGAAGCGGTGGTCCATTAGCGCCGAGCCATTCATGTTCTGCGGAATGTTCCCTGCAATATCCATGCGATCATTAGTTCGCCCATTAACAGCAATCACATTTAAAAAAAACAACATCGATAAAACTGGAAAAGAAGGAAACACTAGCCCCTTCTAACTGGAATTTCTATTTGTATTCGTCAAATTGCAATAAAACTCATTTCATCATTGATGAGTGTACACATTTCTGCAGAAGAAATGGTACATTCATATCCACTAGTGATGAGCCAACGTTATGAAATTAATGGTTTACTCAAAATTTCAATTTTTAAAGGCCATGGTCACTCAAGTCGCTCCTAAACGAGAAAATTCATTTTGATAAACGTTTCCAAAAGCGTGGGCATTGCTGGGAGTGTGTTCCTCTGCGTGGTGATCCCCACTGACGTAATTGGCTGCGATGACGATAGGGGGGGGGCTGGGGAAAAAAAAAAGATAACCTTCTGAGGAAAAACCGCTCTGGATTTAGCTCACATCATCGCGATGATAAAATTTTCTCCTTAATACGCCCCTCCCCTCCCACCGATTGCCGTGCCACCGACGAAGCCTATGAAGACGTAACGTACACACGAACATGGAAAAAACCCAACAACAAAACAACAAAAAATTCCGGGGAAACTGATCTATCTGTCCTTTCCATCTACGAGAGACGACCCTTCGGAAAGCATTTCCCATGCAGAGTATAGCATCGCGGTTCACAACAATGAGAAGGTTTCTCCCAAGGCCAAATATGACCTCCAAAGTGGGCTAGCACGCCCCCCTTGACAGGTTTCGCACAAGCTCCTTTTTCCACTTATTCCCATTGCCATTATATAATGACGGCGCCAACATGACATCCTGGCATAAGGGATGAAAAAGGATAATTTGTTCCACTTCCGTTGAGCATCGTAGTGGCTTACTGAATGCGACGTATCCTATGGCATGACTTGCGGGGCCAGCCAATGTACAAGTCAGCGTTCTTATCCTCCCAGACGAGTCTGGTACTAACTTACTGTCCGTGTAGGGTAGGCGAATTGGTTGGTCTTGGCGGGAGTCAACCGGAGCTTTCAACCCAGGACCGCGCGAGTGATAAGCGCGCCACCTGTCACCATACCACCTTCGCCTCAAAACTGAGTTAACCGCCTCGAAGGCATATGGCACGATAATTCGGTACTCGTTCTAAAATGCTAGCGGGGTGCTATATAGTGGCGAAAATGGCGAAAAACGAAGTGAAACGGTCAATAAGATGCGAAGAGAAGCCTTTATTCTTTACGGGTCAGAAAGCAACTTTGGACGAGAATCCCGTAGGCTTCTTACCATAAACCGCTACGGTAGGTACTGCCGCACGCATGTACTCGTAATCCATGCAGCACTGCGGCCGCCTTCATGTCAGTCTCTTTGCTTCATGCTTTTATTTCGCAAATCAAGCAATAGACCATCAGGTACTGTCGTTCATTTGTGAGCAGGTGGGCGCGGCTTATAGTAGCTTCCTTGGAAAGGCCGTTACGCAGCCCCTGTTCAGGGGCGCAGAATTTCGTTCTTCCAGGCGTATTAATCCTACTTACTTACCTATTAATCGTGCCGACTGCCTTTAAGAATTTTCTTCTCAGGTCTATCAGTTTTTTCCAAACTCCACAATATCTCCGAACGTCTCCCGTCGACCCATGTCTCTC